CGTCACTTCTTGGCGGTCTTATATACAAGAATACATCGCATCTAGAAATCACGCGGGCATTCACGAACCTTCGAGAATATCATGACGTGTTACTAGTATCACATGACTTCCTCTGTTGTAACAGTTCTAATAAATTTGTGCACTACTTTATTTTAGCTGAAGTATTTAATTTTCTGTAATACATTTACCAAGGTTTCTTGAGTGAAACAGGTTTTCAAGTTGCCCCAAAATTTATAAAAAAAGTATATAAAGTTTTCGTCCTAAAAAAGATCTAATTTTTTATGAAATTCCTAAAATTCCCTATTTCTTATGAAACCTGAAAACGTAATAATTAAATGTTTTGTAGTGATATATCATGCAGATTTTATTTCAGACCAGTTTTCCAGTGATTCCTCATCATCATCATCATCATACTTCACTACTGTTTATAAGATCAGTAGAATATGGTAATTAGTTTCTTTATGAAAATATTCCCAATGAAGAACAGCTGAGGGAATGAATTAGTGCTGCTTTCACTCATATCTGTTTATGAGAAGTAGAGTTGTAGCACCGTGTCTTTCACTGCCACAGTGACATCTCTCAAATATTGACAGATTCTTGGAACCAATAGCAATGGGTAACATAATCTGAATTGATATATGAAACGATTTTCTTGGGCTCTGATTGCCATTCTTAGAAAGATTTCAGTGTATAGTGAAGTTGATGTTTTTATTTCTGATATCGAATAACGATTGAAGACTGACAGAGAATAAATTTAAATTGAATGTAGAAACAATTTCTGGATTGTTACATGGGCAAACAAAGTAATGCAGCTTGGCTGCAACAGAATGATTCACAAGGATTTCAAGTTGGGAGTTGGTACAAGGCAGATCTAAATGATTCACAAGGATTTCAAGTTGGGAGCTGGTACCAGGCAGTTCTATTGCCAATCAAAGGAATTTGTATAGTCTACAAGATATTATTCCTAGTAGACAACTCTGGATTTTTATGCACTCTAAAGGATTCAAACACCAGGACATAGCAAAGACTAAATTTGACACAATATGTAAATATTTCACTATAAAATCTGTATGTCAATCTCAGACTTTCACTGATGGAGAAATGACCTCCAGTAGTAGAATTGCTAA